TATTGGGTATATAATACCACTTTTGTATAGTCAATGTCCCTCTTTCCTCTCAACAGCCAGTATGGATGACATGCAAAGATACCTATGAAACATCTTAACTGACCTCCAAGATGCCTCCACTTATGCACTGTGGTCAAGTCTACACAGGACACTGACTGTGCAGGTCTTACTGCTCAACTGCACAGTCATTTAGTGCTTATATAAACAAGTACTAAATGTCTATGCAGTAACCCAAATTACTGTGTAGTAGCACCAACAAATGTTTTTCGTGATGCTACTGTGTAGTAGCCTAACAGTATTGTGCAGTAGTGTTGTGTCACTGCTCTTGCCACTGCACAGTAGTATCGGGCTCCTGCCCAGTCAGCATCTTGTGTAGATGCAGTCTGTGATAACTAAAGTTTAGCCACTTTGCTCTGGAGTAGGGAAAATCCAAATCAACAGAATTCAAAGATTCACAGGTCCCCAAGCTTCTTGGGGAGACCCAGATGAATCTCCAAGATGATCCAGATTGCCTACTCACTCAGGAGGGAGGTATCTACCAGTTGCTAATGGGAAGTCTAGGCATAGGTATGTGTTTGAACTCAACTGATACAAACTCCTTTTTACAGTTTAGGCATCTACTGAAATGGAAGAACTCCGGGCATGTGGGGTCCAGATTGCTCAGAGGGGAGAAATAGAAATATCATAAAAAACCCTTCCATCTTGAAAAAGCTCTCCTTATCCATTATTTTCAATGGGGCTATACACATCTTCTCACTATCAGATACTTTCCCACCTGCACCCACTACCATGTGCCAAACACAGGACATGTCTACATGTGCAATTAATTCACATGAATAAACTACAGAGCAAATTGCTCCACAGTAAACTATTCCTGGGCACAGTGTCTACACGTGCGCTGGGGTCAGGACCAAGTTGAGCTGGGAGGAGCTGTTTAGACCATGGCTTCTCCTGTCCTGCTCTGCCCCCCTGTAGCTGCCAGGGGGAGCTCCAGGCTCTGGCTACAGCTGTCCAGGTGCCAGCCCCAGGCTGGCAGGGAGCTCTGGCTGGCAGCAGTTGGCCTCAGGGTTGAGCCCTGGGCTGGTGGCAGACTCTGGGGCACATTGTGGGCTGGTGGTGTGCTCTGGGGCTCACCCCAGGCTGGCAGAGGGCACAGGGGTCAGCCCCAGGCTCTGGGTGGCTGTGTCGAATGATGGAGGATGAGACTCCTGCAGCTGCTGAGCCATGTGCTGACTGGGCACAATTTGCACCCACATCACTGTCTACATGTGCATTTAATCACACTAATTTACTGTGCTGTCAGATAGTACTTGTGATTGATGGAACTATCTGATGGCACAGTAAATTAGTCTACACCAGCCTAATTGCCATGCATGTGTAGATGATGATGCTTTACTGTGCAGTAAATTAGCCTACTGCTCAGTAAAGTGCACATGTAGTTACACCCACAGAAGTGTAGTATTGAAGCCACTTTCAGAGCTCGCAAATTCACTTGGCAACAACGTGTGGCAGGTCAGCTTCTTGGCTCTGGAACTCCCTCTCCAATTAGGTCCAACAAAGCATGAGCCTGGATATGTTTTAGAAGCATGTAAGACTTAAGAAGCACTATTTGGGCAGGCATTTAGCAAGTACAGCTAAGCTGGGACATTGTTTAGGGAGTTTTAGTTTTATATTTTATTTGAATACTCTACTTTTTTTTATAAGTTATTTTGTCTTATTGTAAGCTGGCCTGAGTCTCTGTTAAGAAGGGTGGCATATAAATTTAATAAATAAATACATACATACATAAATAATCTCTTCTGTATTTGAGAGTGGCAATGTGTGGAGTGATTGGAACGATTTCACCACTACACACAATCCCCCCTAGAGTGATTTCAACACCATATTTCCTGGTGTAGCACATGCACTCAGAAATGGGAGAGAGCAGGCACTACCAACAGTACTGAGGGTGCAACATAGATGTATCCTTAGGAGCCACAATTCCACTTACTGCCAATTGTCTTTTTATATTAATTGAAAACAGCAACTTTATTGACACACCACTATGACTGGGAGGTTCAGAGCTGCCTGGAATTAGGCATCTAAATCTATATCTGAAGCAGATTAAAAATTACAACCAAGCTCCCTTTAAAGAATAGTAGGTACTTCTTATGTTTCTGTCTTCATAAGATACCATTGTGGTAAACAAAATACCTGTGAGTTGGGGCAAAAAAAAAATCCAACCATACCTAAGTAATATACATAATAAACATGGGGCAAATTCCAAGCCACAGTGCAGCCAGTATCATTTTTACCATTGATTTCAACAGGACTACAGTTCAGCCAAGGTGTGCAAGTGGCATAGTAGACATTACCTCAAATACAGAGAGATTTTTTAAAAGAGCTGTGTCTTATGTGTACCTTAGATTTAAAGCAGAATTCCAGGATCTCTAACTAAAATCAGTCTATACCTCCGAAGAAACAGGATGTAAAGTCATAAATGACTCTTCAGTGATTTTGTGTATCTTTTATGTTTTGTATATTGTATTTGTTAATAAGGTATTACATTCAAATGACAATTTAGTACATGGTAAAGAAAAAGGGGTTTTAGCAGCACAGCATGACTCATTACATGATACCATCTTGCACATTTTGGATTTTCCTCTGATGGACTCCAAAGGTGGGGCTGGAGCACACACAATATATAAAAAGGAGGGGTTACACAGATCAGACTCCAGAAGCCTTTGAAGACAAGAAAGGTCCTGTGTTCCTTTGACCCAGAGCCAAAAGAGTCAAGGAAGAAAATTCTTGTGTAATCATGAACTGCAAGATTGTCTTGGCTGTCTTGGCTGTCTTCCTGATCTCACTAGCTTTGAATGAAGGTAAGTGAATCCTTTATAAAATTGACAGAAAAGGGCGTTGCTTATGCATATGTAAATTAATAGGTTCATAAGGGGAAGTATCTTTAATATCTATTTTAAAAAGTATTTTGTTTTAAAACTTTTGCAATAGATATTTCAGCAACGTCTGAAGAACTACTTGCCTATAGCTTTTGAATAAACAGAAAAGGTGCACCACCTCTGGGACTGCATGCAGTCTACTAACTGAAGAAAATTTTGAGTTTTATTTACTGTGTTCTTATTTGAATGAAGAAAAGATCTTTTCATTATAATGTCCATATGTACCTATTGATTCTTCCTTATAAGACAACATGATCCTGTTTGTGACATTACCTTTAGTTGTCACATTCATGATTATGAATATAATCAAATATAATCACTGGAAGAGAGAATGCACAGTATAAATAGAAGATAAGTGACCAGCCTTGAGTTGACAAAGAACAAAGGGTCAAGTATCACTTAAAGTTTTATATGGAATAAAATTATATAACCAAGCAAAGAATCTTCCTAGATTCAAAATGATTAAAACAAAAGACATTTCATTAGAGCAACAGCTGTTCTGAAAATAAAGGCATTTATAGATATGCTCTGGGAGTGCGGGGGGAGGGAGGAGAGTGCTTTAATGAGAGAGGCTCCGAGAGCCACTCTAATTAAAGTACCTGCAGCGTCATGTGTATCAGCGTCCCCACACTGAAAAATAGTGGCAGGGGCGCTATATCTGTGCCCCCCACCGCTATTTTTCAGCACAGGGATGCTGATACACATGGCACTGGAGTCTGCTGGGGCACGGTAATTATGACACTAACAGACATGATTAATCGAGTCTGCTCTGACACACTGTAATTACAGCGTGTCAGAGCAGCCTCCCTGCATGTGCATAGGTGCCCAAAAGTTTTGATATTGAGAGGCAGATTAGAGTAGAGAAGAAACAATCTCTTAGCCTTTTTGTGAAAAAAGAACAGCCATCACTAATAAACCATTTCACACAAAAGCAACTCATTGTGCTCTGCATGTTCAGATGGTGAGATCTTCTGCTTCTCTGACCACAGTTTTCTTGTCACGTTACAGGCATGGCCTTAGCACAGATTGGGAACGAGCTCCGATGCCAGTGCATAAACACTCATTCCAAGTTCATCCCCCGCAAATGGATTCAGGATGTGAAGCTGATCCAAAGTGGGGCTCACTGCCAGAATGTTGAAGTCATGTAAGCCCTTTTCCAAATTCTGTTACTTAACAAGGGAGAATGTGTCTGCAATGTGTAGGTTCAAGAGTTATCACAGGGGTTGAAAAACTGATGGGTCCTCACTAATCAGGGAGAGTCCATAATAGTGAGGTTTTGTGACTCTTTCATGACACTGTTTTCGCTACTGCACCATGTTTAGCATAGCCTCACACACCTGCAATTTCCCTGGTGTAGGAATTCCACATATTTGAGGGATGTAACATTAATTAGAAGCCAAATGAACCTGCATTGTGAGGACTGGTAAACTTCTGAATGGCAAAGACAACATGGCAACCCATGTTATGCAGGCATTTCAAAGGCAAAATGATCTCTAAAAATCCCAGTTCAAAGTAATGGAAGAAAGAAGTATTAGATTCACTGGGCAAATTTGGACAGACTTGCATGAAATACTTCAAAGTCCTAAAAGTTAAGTGATAAAGGGCTTCACCTTACTCACAGTTGAGTCACAGAAAAAATCCGTATTTGAATATTACAAAATCGAATATCTACTCAGATAAAATTACTGCCGAGTACATGGGAGATTTGTGTAAGCACTGCAGATTTTAGCCCTAAATTTAATGGTCAGGAAAAATAAAAAATGGAAAACAGAAGAAAACAAAACAAAAACAGACATTTTAAACATATGTAGAATGTATCTACATGGCTTGAATCCATGCAGACCTATGCACATACACATGCACAGGAAGAGAGTTGTGTGTGTTTCAAATGGGTATTTTGCAGATATTGAGAAATTTTGGCTCAGATCCTTAGCTGATACAGAATGAAGTCAATGGGACTGTGTCAATTCATGCCAGCTATGACACAGTATTTGACAAAAGGATGAGGCTGTGAAAAGAAAGGAAAACCAAAGCATAGATGCTTAACTCTTGTTTCTCTTCTTGCAGTGCTACTCTTACAGATGGCAGAGAAGTGTGTTTGGAACCCACTGCTCCCTGGGTGATGCGCCTTGTCCAGGATATTTTGAACAAGTAAGTCATTAATTTTCAGTTAGAAGTACTTAATAAAAAATGGCTTAAAACCCAATTAGACTGTTTCTTAGTACAAGTTATATAAGTGTTCCTTCTCAGCAAGCAATAGTAATCCTTTCCAAAAAATTCTCGCACTTGATCAAGTAAAACATAACAGGGGCCATGTCCACATGACACACTGACTGCATAGTAACCCAATACTACTGTGCAGTGTCACATGGCAGCAACTGTGACATGATGCTACTGTGCAGTAGTATTAAACTACTGCACAGTAACATCACAAAAAAGACATTTGTCGGCACTACTGCACAATAACCTGAGTTACTCGGGTTACTGCGGATTAACTTCTGTGCAGTCAGCATCTCGTGCAGATGTGGCCAGTAACACTGTGGTTATACCATTATTATGGGACTAAGTTCTACTCCTGTCTCTCTCCTAGATATGGTGACCAGCCTGAGCCACTGATAAGTCCCACATATAATGAGCACTGGCAACTCCACCTGGAGACTTGCATTCCACAAATGCTCAGCATATCTGAAACAATCAGGTTCTGCAAAATGGATTTTTCTCTTGCTTGCAGAGGTGTAAATTAAGACAATAACCACACTTAATTGAAAACGTTTCTTAGTTGTGAATGCTAGGGTGATTCCACAAACTCTAGCTTGTCATCCCATATTGGATGCTTCTGCAATTCAAACTAAAGGTAACTGGTCCACACAACAGTTCCTATAACACCGTATCCCTTTTCTCCTTTTTTTCACAGGGCTTAAGTCAATACTGAAGCATTGCTCTAAGCAAAGTCAAACATAAAAAAAAAATCACCTCCTTTGTCCTTAAAGAAACATTTCAGTGAAGATGCCAGTCAGTCTTCAATCAACTTTCACCTTCTTTGTCAATATGTTCAATGGAGACTGAAGCCAACTGCATTTATTTCCTATTTATGTATTTATTTAACAGTATCACTTTGTTCAAAAATGGTTCAAGTATTTATAGACTAGAAACTGAAAACACTGGATGGGACAAAGTGATTTCCTGAAGGAGATGAAGACCCTTTGGATATCACTTTAGCTAAACACACTTGGCTCACTGCTGGGCACTTTGCAGCTGAGCTACATTTATACTAAACCTTACCTTGTTGTTAGTAGGTCAGCAAACTGGCAGTGATTCCTCCACCCCTGAGGTTCTTTGGTATGTTGCATCAACAGTATCCTGAGCCACAACCAAACTAAAGTTTATCTCTAGTTTTGGTAACTCTTAGAACTGAATCTGCCAAAAATTCATGAGGCAGCATTTTCAGTACTGTTAGTGTTATGGATTTATTATGCTCTAGCAGAATGTTCTATGTATATTTATTGATGTATTTTAAAAGGTAATATTTAAATAAGTAACCCCCTGACATTATTTATTTAAATTATTCTGATTCAACTGGATGTTTTTCTATTGGGTGCTCTTTTTCTAATATTTTAATATTTCAAGCTATTGTTTATATGGATTTAACTGGTTTTGTCAGTTTATTTTTATTTATTTATTTATTTAGAAAAATGGAAAATATTGACATTTAGGTCCATAAGATGTTCTTGCTCCAATTTCTTAAATCCCTTTGTTCATAAATTACTTTTATAATAAAATTTATATGTAAAAATGGATGGGTTTTCTTTCTTATTCAGCAGCACTTTGCTTGATCTTTGCAATCTGACTTCAGGCCAGGCTGAACTGCAGACTCCAAACAGGTGGTGTGAATGCTACAACCCCATTATGGTAGACATTTGCTGGCCAAGTCTTCACGAGACACTGAATGCATGGTCATTAAAGTGCAGTCATTTAGGACTTGTGTAAACAAGTCCTAAATAACTGTGCAGTAACCCGAGCTACTGTGTAGTATTGCCGATAAACAGATTTTTTGTGACGCTACTGCACAGCAGCCCCAAGACTACCGCGCAGTAGCATCATGTCATGGGTTTGGCCACACAACACTACTGTGCAGTAGTCTCGGGCTACTGTGCAGTCAGTATCTCACGTAGATGTGGCAGCCGTGTCCCAAAAGAACTGCTAGACCTGGCTTCTGTGAGGAGAGGCAGAGAGGAAAATAGGGGAAGGGCCACCTGGTTTATGGATCCATTGTCTGCCACAAAACCAACTTTCTCCTTTCTACTATGTCCGCTCCCTGGGATTTGCCCCCAGTGACTTTGAGAGGAACATGCACTGGGTGTTGCAAGGAACATGGCCACTCCTTATCTGGTTATGACTCCAACAACACTCACAAGCAAACCTGATGAGTGCATAAGATCATTCTGTGTCAGTGACTTTTGGGGGAGCTCTTGGCATCCTAGTCCTGGTGCAAACTGCAGTCTGTAGATGTTAAAATCCAAAGTAGTTTCAGCAGAAACTTGCCAGGCAGCGCTGGAGTCAGAGGAGCAAAAGAAGCATCCTGAATCAGCAATCAACAAGTTATTTCCAGTACTGGTGTCTGAGAACTTGACAATAATGGCTAGTCAAACTCCAGTTCCTCCCCCTCCAACAGATATCAGTGTACTCTGACATCCATGTGGTCATATTTGTATTTCCACCAAAGACTGTATTAAGTATCAGTACAATTCACAGATAGTTGTACACATATAATTGTTAGTCTCAGGAACTCAAAAAGATCCTTAAAGCTAGTTACACTAACTGAAGATCTGATCTTAAAGAGCTTCCATACATCACCCTAATTGATGTGGATAGGTTATTGAAAGCTAACTAGCAAGTATGTATGCTTTATGGTTTATTTTAAATAGACATTCTTTGGACTGAAGTCAGGGAGTGATCCCATAAAATCAAGTGTAACCTGCAAGTATTCGAAAAACCATAGTGCAGGGCTAAGTGCAAAGACAAGGACCCCAGGAGATGACAACCCAGAGTCTCAAGAGCATATCTTTAGCCAGGTTGGCCATGCTCTATAAAAGTAACAGCTATTTATCTTATTAATCAGTCCTAGTATATTAATTCCAGTCTCTGGACAATGTCTATGAATGTGTTATATAAGTCAGGGGACCCTGCTGAAGGACTGGATAAAGTCTCACTGAAGAATGTTGTTCTTACTCCTAGCTAGCACTTCTAGACATTAGGGCCAGTTTCTGTTCAACTTATTTATGCACTATGGACTTATATGCCTAACTGAGCTTCTATTCCACCCACCTAAGTCCTTTCAGATGCCTAACAGATGGAACAGAATCTGGCCCTGGATGCTTACAAGTGATCAGGGAGGGATGGGCTGAGATCAGGGCCCTGACTTTAAGACACTCTAAACTGGCCAGCAGACATGGAACTGGCCACTCATGTACCTTCTCACAGGGCATGCCCACGTGTGCTATTAATGCAATTTAAGCATAATGTGCAGTAAAATAAGGTGCAGGAAGCCTTCCCCTGGAATACCTCTATATGTGTGCCCTCTCAGATGCAGATTTTCTCCTTCTGGGAGTAGGCAGATCCAGGCCTACTCCTACTCTGCTCTTCCCCCCTGCAGCTGCCAAGGGAAGGTACAGGATATGGCTACAGCTGCCAGGTGTCAGGGGTCTCCAGGGGGGCAGTCTCAGCCTGGCAGGGGAAACTGTCCCAACAGCCTGTGGCCAGCATGCCATAGATGCTGCCTGCCCCCAGTGGCAGATGGGGCACCATGTCCACAAGACAGTCATGGATCACCTCCTCCTCCCCACTCCCCACCACTCCCCATCCATGGACCCCAGGCCCTCAGGGCAACCCCGAGACCATGCACACTACAGACAGTTTCAAGCAACAGTTTTTGTATCCCCCCACCAACAACAGACTCCCTCCCACCCTCCTTCGCCAAAAACAGACCCTGCCCCTAACCCCAGTGCCCACCAGCAATAAAGCAACCTCTTCCCAGTGCAACTATGTACAGTGTGGCCCTCCTGGAGGGGGAACAGTGGGGTGAAGGCACCTATGGGGAGGATCCTGGGGAGAGGCACCTGCCACCCTGGCCTCTGGCCACACCACCATAGGTGCAGACATCATGGTGAGGCCAGTGGGCTGGGGGCTTGGCCAGGGGCTAGAACAGCTGCTGTTTAGGCTGCATAGCCTGTTCCTCCTCCTTTACCATGGGGCTGGGTCCAGCAGGGCCCACATGCAATGCTGGCAGCTCCCACTCAGTGGAAGGTGTTGGCCCAGGAAGGGGACCCAGCCACTGGGGGACCTGACTCAGAAGCAGGGGCAGGGGCCCTGTTCATTGCAGGTGGTGCTACACCTTGTCCCAAACCCACTGGGGGGCTTTGGCCTGGGCAGTGTGTGGCTGCCAGGGGGCAGGTGGGGCCAAGGGCTGGGCCACAGGTAGTTGCCAGGGGGCAGGTGGCCAGGATCTGGGGCTGGGCCATGGGTGGCAGGTGACCACCAGGGCCAGGATGGTGTCCAGCACCCAATGGTATTCCTCCATGTCCTGCACTGCTCGGGCCACCACAGTGGCCTGATGCTCCTGGGTATCCAGTATCCACTCCAGGAGGGCAATGTGCCTCTCCTCAAGGGCAAGGAGCCTATCCCAGAAAGCACGGTCCTCCTGGTCCCTCTCCTGGTCAAGCTCCATGTCCTGGATGTGCCAAGTCCATGAGTCCACCAGTCACTCCTCTGCCATAGTGACCAGCTGGTGCGATCTTGCATACTGTGCTGGCAGAGGCTGCGCATGCGGAGAGTGCTGGCCAGCAGTGGCAGCATCCTTGGACATGCATCCCTGGCAGCCACTGGTGCTTCTTCCCCATGTGAAGGATCTTCAGAACCAGAAAAAGAGAGGGTCTTTGTGAAAGTTTTCAACATTTCAGTGATAAAATGCACTGTACTGAGGGGTTATGCACCACCCAGCCTCAGATCAGGGGTTGTGCATGAATAGGTACTCAGGGACCATGATAAGTTGGCTGGGTGGGCCCTGCCACAGGCAGCTGCTGGCTGAGCCCTCTGTCCTTGCTCTCTCCATGGGGGCAGGCAGTTCACTTGGCACTTGCTGCAGGCAGCCTGCTTTCCTGGTTCGCTACCCAGGCCCAGGTCAGAGCGGGTTCCTGCTGGCAGCTGCCACGGCAGCTCTAGACCAGCTCTCCTCCTTCTCCTCTTAGAGGCTAGGCAGTTTGCTCCTGTGGTACAGGCCCACACTGCCCAGGGTTTGGGAGGGGTAAGGGGCTCCTGCCCAGCTGGGATGTGGAGCTGGTGATGCCTCTACCTTCCCCCAGCAGCGCTTTCTGGACAGGCAGCCTGGGCCAGGGACCACATCGTGCATGGCCTGTGCCCCAAACATGGTATTCCTCCATGAGAGTCCCCCAGGTGCACTATGATGACCTGTGCGAGCACACTGAAAGGTGCCTAACTTATGACACCCTGCTGCTGTTAATTGCCATGGTGCCCTGGGTGCAGGGCCCTGAGTTTTCATAGCACCCCAGGCAAGCCTGTGCTTCCCCACAATGTTCACTACCACTTGGAAGGGTATCTCTGCCTATGCTATGATTGCCTGACTCCCACAGCTGAGGAGGAAATTGATGTTGCCATCAATGAGTTTCTCTGCATGTGACAGGGCCCTGGATGCCTAGCTGGGAGGGCACTGTTCTGCTTAATAAAGTTGTGGACTGCCTCTCACCTCCCTGTGTGTTGTGGAGGGGAACTCCAGGGGTAGAGGGGAACTTGCTCAGGCAGGGTGGGAAGCAAGGGGGAGGGAGAGGGAGGGGAAGAGAAGACCCCCCCACCCCACCCCCCATGCAGGGCCTCTGGCTCCAAGCATGTAGCCCTGGGGCAGGCAGGTGAGCTGGCACAGGCAAAGGTGGCCAAAGTGCCCCCTTTCTACCCCCTGGCCTTCCTCCCTGCGTGGAGCTTACGTGATGGGCATGATAGCCAATCTTA